CCCCCAAAAGCTCATGTGACGGTGTAAAAATAGTCAGAAGTGAAATTATTATGAGGTGGTGTTAGGTAGTAGCTAGCAATGAGCAGTGAAATGCACGTCAAATTCACAAGCATTCTTCAAATTACTTTAGGGTCTTTTTAAAACTACTTTCAAAGTGGATAAGAAAGCAAAGAGTGGCATTTAATTTGTAGAAAATAAACAGAAGCAAAGGAGCCAATGGAAAAATATGTCAAAAGAATAGGATTAACGGACCAACTCTTAATAGGGTCCACTGAGGTTGGTGTGAAGTTAGGAATAATGGTTATAGGTATCTCCATTTGTCTGGGAAGGAAGATCCCTTTAGTTGCACATGTGCACTAAGGTGACTTCTGACCAGTTACTGACCCCAATGCCTACATTAACATGGGACTGAGTTGCAGATGAAGCCCCCACCCCCAATAAGATGGCCACAATGACAATTCCAGAAAGGACCAAATAAATTTAAAAAATCCACCACCCCATTAAGGAGGAGTTGAACACCTATATTGGTGAAGGTTGCTAAAAGAGGACCCCAGTTCTCCTGGTAAACATCAAACAGTAATAAATTTGGAGACATCATTGTCTCCTTTGCCATTCTCTGCTTGGAGGTGCCCCCCCCATCTCTCTCTCATATTCTCTGCTTGACCCTCACTTTGCTTTTATTCTACTTTCACCTCACTTTTCATTTTACTTTCACCAATAATAAAGTTCTCTTGTGTGGCTTTTGATGTCTGACTTTAAATTTTCTTTCACTGGAACACAAGAACCAAGGTTTGGAGTTTCATCTCCCCACTTTCCTGTGACAGTGTGACCAAATCAGTAGATTAATTTGCTGATATGAATTAACTAAGTGGTAATTGTTGGCAGGTAGGGTGTGGCTGAAGGACATAGGTCATTGGGGGTATGCCTTTGGAGTATATATTTTGTTCCTGGTAAGCAGAACTCACTCCCTGTTTCCTGGTGCCATGTCCTAAGCTACTTTCCTCCACAAAACCATCCACCATGATGTTCTGCCTCACCTCGAGCCCAGGGCTTTGTAGTGACTGACCATGGACTGAATCTCTGAAACCATGGGCCAAAGAAAAACTTTTTCTCCTCTACATTGTTCTTGTCAAGTCTTTTGGTCACAGAGACCAAAAAAAAAAAAAGAAAAAGAAAAGAAAAGAAAAGTTAACTAAAACAGAGGATAAGGCAGGACTAGCAAACAAAGCTTACATGATACATGTGTGTGGGACCAGGCCAAGGCAGAAACACCTCCTTCTCCACTTAGGGAGAGTTCTTTCGTCTCCACCACCTCTAATGGCCAACCAGGCTCCACTTTGATCCCAGCAACACTGATTTCTAATGACAAGGAGCTCATCACTTAAAATAGCTCTGGGAGGAAAGTCTTAGGAGCAGTGCACAATCCCCCTCTCTGGGATATCTGCTCATAGGTGCGGTTCTGACTCCTACAAGGTAACTTGAATTCACTTCCACACCTTTGCCCTTTAAATACTCAAAGACAGCTCTAAAGCACTCTGCCCTAATCTCTTCTTTGTTGGACTAACCACACTCAATTCCTCTGAGAGTTCTGTGATTATCTGGGTCCTTCAGTGTCCCACCCCCTGTCCCTAAAAGCATTCCAGAACAAAAAAATGCAGGCTCCATAAGTGGCCCAAACACAGCAGATAAAGGTCATCTGTTCCCTCCTCTCTTCATTAACATATGGAGATATGTTAGTGCTTAGTTTTAATGTATACATTAAGATGGAATTATAGGTTGTAAGAACAAAGTACTATTGGCCCATTTTATACTCCCTGTCAACTAAAAGGCCTGGACCTTCTGGCTTTCCCTTATGTTGAATGTTTTTTAAACTAGATGTAGGACTTCACATTTTCATCACTGTTCTGTGTTATACTAGGTTCCATCTCTTCTTGAACTCTCACAAGATTTTTGAGATCTTGTCTCTGTCATCTCTCTTTCATCTTCAGATTTGAAAAAGCATGCTTTCTGTGTTTTTATTCAAGTTGTCAACAGAACATATCCAAGAGGATGAGACCAGGGGGTAAACTCCTCTTGCAAGTTTCTCTACCTGTGATACCAGTGCATCAGTGTGTAGTAGTTCCTCAAGCCTTGGAAATACCCAGTTGTGAGTTTGGCAGCCACAGTTCTCCATCTTGTCCACAATTGTATCTTGAGGTCCTGTGCCATTTTCTAGGTTGAAAACAAGATATACTCCACTTGGGGCACTCTCCTTTCCATATACTCTTAGAGCATCATAAAAAAAATAAGTAAATGACATTGATATATATTTATTCTTGAACTTGCAGTGCTCTTTAATGATCTAAGTATCTACATTAATATTTCCTCTTGGGAATATGTGACAATGGGAACCACTCCTTCCTCATCAAGATGTCCTCTTCTACCAGTTTCCATGGTCTCACCTAGCCCTTGCTGAACAGAGGAGGGTACCATCATGTGATTTTTAGATCTTAACATCTCAAATGGATAACAAGTTTTAAAATGGTTTTTTAAAGATTTTCTTCTTTTTGAGAAAATCCACAAAGTAGTCATTCCCAAATTCTATATACCTTCCTTCATCCTTAAGTAAGGCACATAGAAACCCTTGACATATAGGGTTATTTCCTTATTTTCTAACAAAACAAACCATTTCCTGATGATTAATACCATATTTTGAAATTGGAGTGTACAGTATAAATGTTCCAAATAATTATCCCTTTGTACAAGAGAATACTACTTCCTGCCCCATTGACATTAGATGTATGACTCCCAATCCTGCCAATGTAGTGCAAGCAGCAGTGAAGTGCCCCATTCAGTAGATGTTTTACATCAAGTAGATGTTGTAAGAGCTCTTTGGTGGTTCTACCATAGCTCTTCTGCACCTGCCACACATTGGCATGACCCAGAAGGGGTTACTCCTCTGGACTGAATCCCAGTTGAAAAAGCCACAGAGGACCCAAAATAGATATATGATACAGATGGGAAATAAGCTTTTGCCATATAAACTACAGATAATTAGGGGTTATTTGTTACTGGAGCAGAACCTAACAAAAACTGACTAAGACAGCTATAATTTTACATATTTGTTTGTTACACTACTCTTGAGATTGTATTTACCCAAATTGAAATTTAAGAATCATTCCCATATGTCTCCTCTTTCCTTGACCCTCCATATCCAATACTTGTAGATCAGGTCTTATCAATTCTCAAATCCACCCACTTCTTTCTCCCCACAGTTGCAGCTTGGTCCAAGCCACCATCTTTCTTATGGGTACAAGAAACCCCAACAGCCTTCCTATTCTATCTATCCATTCTCCACAGAGCAGCAAATCAGAGCATGACACTTACCTACTTAGGACTCTTCAAAGGTGTCCATTAAACTTAGAATAAAACCCATTTTCTTACCAAGAGCCAATCAGGCCCTACATGAGCTAGTACTACTTCTTTCCAGACTCACCTCATCCTATTATGCTCTACATATTCTCATCCTCTTTTAGGTCCTTGAACTTGTCATGCTCTTTCCCATCTCAAAGGCTTCATCTCTATGTTGTCATGCTCTTTCCAATCCCAAAGGCTTCATCTCTCTGTTTCCCTCTTCCTAACCTTATCATCAGGTCTTAAATGTGTCACCTGCCTTTTTTGTTTTTTTTTTTGAGACAGGGTTTTCCTAATCTGCTTAGGTTGGTCTGGAACTTGTGATCCTCCTGCCTCAGCCTCCAGAGTCACTGAGATGATAAGTGTGTGCCACCACACCTGGCTAAAGAGATTGTATTTTAAACAGTTTCTTTTTAATATAATTGTATTTTAATAAAAAGATGAAAATGATATTACATATTTGGATTACAAGTAACTTTGCATTAAAAATAAATTTTCAAGAATTATTTACTGTCCATTGTATTTATTGTATTTTTTTCCTTTTTGTTTTGGGGATTGAACCCAGAAGTGCTTTACCACTAAGCTACATCTCCAATCCTTTTTATTTTATTATTTTTTTTTAATTTTGAGACAGGGTGTCACTAAGTTGCTTAGGGCCTCACTAAGTTGCTGAGGCTGGCACTGAACTTCCAATCCTCCTCCTCAGCCTCCCCAGTCACTGGGATTATAGGCATGTGCCTTTGCACCCAGATGTCTGTTGTATTTTATCACTTGTTTTCCATAATTTTATGTATGGAGGGATGCTTTCCTAAAGCAACATAAGATCTGGACCTCCTGCCCATGTCCCAAATCCATTATTTTGTATCATAACACGTCTATTATTATCTTGATGGCACTTAACACAATTTGTAATGATTTAATTTGTTCTTATTGTTGTTTTATGCTTTCCCTGCTGGATTGAGCAAAGTATTTCAGCTTATCTGATACTACTCTCTACTGCCTTTGAGTGAATCTATCAAAGCAGGCATTTAGTGTAGTTATCTGTTATCTATCTTATGTAGTCCTTTCTTAGACTCTAAGAAGCAATGGTTAGGGGCTGGGATGTGGCTCAAGTGGCATGCGTGAGGCACTGGGTTCAATCCTCAGCACCACATAAAAATAAAATAAAGATATTGTGTCCACCTAAAACTAAAAAATAAATATTAAAAAAAAGAAGCAGCAGCAATGGTTAATAAGGCCCATATTGCAGATTTCACTTCAGTGTTAGTCAATTCTCCTGACTTGCTTAGGAACTCTATAAATTTACCAACTGTCACGATCATTTAGCCTACTGCCACACCATAGTCATAGAACACTGAGCACAAATCCTCACCACCACTATTCAATTCACTATTGATTGAGTAAATATTTAAAAATACTAAGCACTGTCAGCCTTACATCAGGATGAAGATGAGGAGCATCGAAGAATAACATTATCTTATTTTTAAAATAAATCACAACTGGAATTAATTGCAATGCTCACTTTGAATCAGGAACTATGATAAATTTACTATACATAATTTAATCTTCACAACATCCCTATATAGGGAATGGTAGAGCATACCAACCACGAACACAGCTTCTAGAATCCTACTGATCCTGGTTCAAATGCTAGGGTTTTGCTCCTCTTGCAAATTCCTTGACTTCTCCATGCTTTCATTTCTTCAGCTGGGATATAGGAGTTATTGTGGTACCCACACCTTAGGGTCACTGTGAAGATTAAATGAGATGACACATGTGATATGCTTAGCTTTCTGTGTGCCTGGCACATACAAAGTGTCCCATAAATGTCAGATACCATTTCTTAACTTGCTCTTCTGGAGGTCAAGCCCTGCAGCATCGCACTTTGCGCCTAGGACAGAGAAAGCGTTTCCAGGCTGAGCTCCTGCCTTTCAGGAGCACACAGTCAGAGACAGCTAAGAGCACACTTGGAATTCAGAAGAGCACTGCAAACATGTTCCTCCAAGTGACTGCGTTCAGTTTATGGTCCAAGCACGGTAAGCTCATGTTCTCATTTCCTTTTCCCCCAAAATAGCTATCTGTGCTCCCTGAAGAGGCCCTGGATGATTATAGTTCCTTAAATACCCTGAAATTCTCAGGATAGAAGGAATGTTTTTCTAAAGCAGGCCCAGCTTGGAGCTAGAAGACATAAGGTTAAATTCTCTGAGGCTATGACAATGTAACTCATTTCCTGTTTTTCTCAACTGTCTAGACACAGATCTCATAAGCATTAGCTGTGAGTTCCACCATCAGACTAAAAATAGAAGGTTTAAATACAAAATGCTGTGTTGGAGGAAAGATTGTAGGTTTCTACCTTTGTCTACAAAATGACTGTATTGAAACAGCATTTTTTTTTGTCTTCTTTGTTAGTTTTTCCATTAAGTCCTGGAAAACCATATTTCAATAGCAGGAACATAGCACACTTTTTTTCCCTGAAGAATATGTCTGTCCTTTGATAATACAATTTTCCCTCTAGGTTTTACTAGTCACTTGAAGACATAGCTCATGGCAGGTTTCCTCAGTAAGGGATGTGGTCAAACCCACTAAAAATGTTGCATAGACCAACATTTAGCCCCAAGTGTCTACAAGGGGATATTTGTTGTGTGACAGCAAATGCATGTGAATTGGGCATATTTACTTCTTCTATCCTCTGCCTCATAAAGAAATCTGGTAATTATTTTTGAACATATGATTTTTCCAGAAAACATTTTAAAACTCCTTAATAATACCCAGATAGTGTTACACCAGTGTGGGGATCCAGTATGCTGAGTTTCCCAAACTTATTGGACCACAGAACCCTTTTATTAGGCTAATCCTACTAGCACCTCCCAGATTAGTATAACATGGAATATCAGTTTAGGAAATGTGAATTGAAGTACTCTGACTTTTTTATTTCTGATTCCAGAATTATAAGAGATCAGGTCTTTTCTCTGACATTCTCAGCTACCTGAATCACAACATAAAACATGACCTAAATAAATACTAGTGACTCTTCAATATTGTAAGTATATCTGTTCTCTTTACTGCTGGGAGGCAAATGCCATATAAATACCTGTGCATTTACCTTTTAATATTTACATATTGAAATAGGTACAAATTGAAATAAAGATGAGTGTCTTGGTGTACACAAATATATTTTCTAATTCTGCCCACTGAGAAGTAGAGACCCTGCTAGCAATGAACATCCATTCTCCAGTTAAAAAAAAAAAAAAAAAGAATTAGACCTCTTTGGAGAACAACTTGATTTTAGGGTTGGGGAGAAGAAAATATAAGTCTAGGATAAAAAGTGTCAAACATTTAGAAAATACTCAGAAGTGATAGGGCATGTTGAAAGGATACAGGAGCCGACCTGTTCAAGCTCCTCATGGCCAGAGCTGGAACAATTTGAGCAAAAAAATAAATATGATAGTATTAAATTATAAGTCATAAAATAAATATGGATAAGCCTATGCTCTGCTAAAACCACTAAGTAAAAGGAAGAAAAACAGATATTTGTGTGGCCTCAAAGCATCTCCCTAAGATATCATTAGTCACAGAGAGAAACATAGAAAAACCTAGCAGACATCACTCTAACCAAAAGATCAAGGTTAACAGAACCAGTAATAATAAATATTGATGCTGTGGGGAAAGACATGACATTACTTCTGAGATATTCCTGCCAAAACTGAATTATTTATATTTTATCTTGAAAGATAAGGAAAAACTAAATCAGAGAAGGCTGAATTAGTCTTTTTCTCATAACAAAGTTCAACATGGGATCCACAGGGTCTTGCTAAGTTGCTAAGGCAGCTTTGAACTCACTATCCTCCTGCCACAATCACCTCAGCTGCTGAGATTACAGGCATGGGACACCATACCCAGCAATCTCCTGGTTTTGATTATTATACTGTGGTTACATAAGATGCTAACATTAGGGGAAACTGGGTGAAGTATATATGGAAATTTTCTGTACTATTTTTATAATTTTTCTTAAGTCAAAAGTTTTTCAAAATATTTTAAAGATTTTTAAGAAAAATATATTCACAAGCCAATAATTTACAGCTCAATGCCAATGTATGCCAATAATATTAATAATATTAGTAACAATAGGATTATTGTTTTTTAAAAATAATATAAAAAGAAGCTATGCTAGAAACTTGAATGTGTTCTTTACTCTTTACAATCTGAAGGCATAAAGCTAAGTAACATGAACATTAAGGGACATGTCAGTTTTTGTTGTAACCTAGCAGAGAAGATCAAAGTAAATTACTTGTGAGAAAGTCCAAATAGCAAACTAAAATTATGGATAATGTTGAATATCTGTGCTACATTATCTCTGTTCCTTGCTCACTTATCTCAGACTTCAAGGTATGTCAACAATGTAGAATTCGGGAATATAAGCTAATAAATACTCTAGGTAAACAATTACTCCTTAACTTTCTGAAATTTTTCTATAAAAATCCCTCAGGGTCACACATTTTGGATTTTACCCAAGGACTTCTTCACATGTTGACTTTATTGAATACACACTACCACCAAATGAGATGCTTCATCTTCCCCATTTTTTGAAAAGAAACACCAACTTTCAAGGAGATTGACTTTCCCCCGCACACCGTCCCATCTCTCCACCCCAGCAGCTAATAACTCCAATTGTTTCCTGCCATCAAAATGAGGGTAAACTAACATCCAAGTTATCCTGGAATGAGAAAATAAGCAATGAAAAGAGAGGTGTGATAGCAGGGGAGGGACAGAGAGCTGGCAAGAAGGAAGACAATTTTTGTAATGGCTAAGAGCATGCATGCAAACTCAGCTGAGCCACTTTCTGTGATCTGGCTAGGTTACTTTCTGCCTCTTTCTCCTCAACAGAAAGAGCTTCAGTAACTCTTTTAGCCAGCTTTTTCACTGTTTCGCCTAAAAGACCCAACCAGAACTGTTTTTACTTCCAGCTGCCAGCACAGAACAACCGTAGAGGAGGAAAGGTTTATTTAGATGCTCACAGTTTCAGAGGTCTTAGTCCATAGACAGCAGGTTCTAATCCTCAGGGCTCCAGATGAGGCCGGACATCATGGCAGAAGAGTGTGGCAGACAGAACCAGCTCACATGATGATCAGAAAGCAGAAGGAAAGATCTCCACTTGCCAAATACAAATATATACCCCAGAGCCACGCCCTCAATGCCCCACTTGCTTTCAATTACCACTCAATTAATTCCATCAGGTGATTAAGTCACTGATTGTGTTAAGGCTCTAGTAATCCGATCATTTGTCCTCTGAACCTTCTTGCATTATCTCACATATGAGCTTGGGGGATACCTCATATCCAAACCATAACAGTAACGGTACAAGAGAATTGTGTCCCTCCCAAATTTTATGTCTAGCCAGAACCTTAGGATGTGACCTTATTTGAAAACAGGGTCTTTGCAGATATAATTAAGGTCACAGTGGATAAGGGTGGGCCCTAAATCTAATGGTGTTATTGTAAAAAGAGAGACCAACCAGAGAAAGAAAGAGAAGGCCTTGTCTAACGGAGACAGATTGGAGCCATCCAGCTGTAAACCATGGAAACCCAAGGATCACTAGGAACCACAGCCAGGAAGCCAGGAGGAGTCAAGGAAAGATTTTTTCCTCAGAGCCATCAGAGAGAGCAGGGCCTTGCTGACACCTGAATTTCAGAGTAGCCTCCAGAACTGAGAGAATAAATCTCTACTGTTTAGGGATTAAGCTTATAGTAATTTACTATGGCAGCCCTAAGAAAACAATAGAAGAAGCAGTATGGAGGCAATGTGTGTGAAGTGCCTAGCAGAGGACAATCAACAACCTATGAGTCACCACACCTGTTCTGCTGTAGTAAGAAGGAACACCAGGGATGCCAGGGTTAATTACACATTTCTTACCTTTGGAGATTTTCTAGCACTGTAGACATGATAATTAAATGCAAAGCAGCATCCTATAATGGCTCATGGTGCAGAAAAAGGGCATCTGCAGATAAACTGATGAAATTCAAAGTCTGGAGTTTAGTTAACAGTAATGCACCTCTGTTGGTTTCTTGGTTCTGAATAAAGTTCCATGATAATATGACGTTAACATAATCTAAGGAAACTAAAACTAGGTAAAGTTGAGACTCTGCAACTTTTCTGTAAATCCAAAATACTCTGGTTTATTTAAATATAGGTATATGTATATATTGGATGTATATTTATGCAGTGAGAACTATATACGTTAATACAGTTAACCACAAATAATTTGTTTATAACTGAAAAGTTCAAACTAGGTTTCTTATATAAGCTTGATACCACTCTTATAATATTGAAAACTTAATCATGCCAAGCTGAGAGAACAGTCAATAATAAAGAGACTCCAACTCACTTGTGCATCCCCACTCCATCAGGAAGAAATAAAACACCTTGGGCTGGGGCTATGGCTCAGCAGCAGAGCACTTATCTGGCATGTGTGAGGCATTGGGTTGGATCCTCAGAACCACATACAAATAAATAAAATAAAGGTCTATCAACAACTAAAATAATATTTTTAAAAAACACCTCGCCAAATAACTGCATACACCATCACACAAATGAGGATACTTTGCGAGTCTCTTCCATTAATTTGGCGCTTGCAAAAGCAGTACTAGCATCTCTTTTTACCCTATTTTCTGTTTCTTAAATGGAGTGCAGCTTGGTGACCCAGAGAAATAGCCCTATAAAGAGATAACTTCAGATGGGACACAGACTTTATGACCCTCAGCCTGTAAGTCCTCGTCCTTTTCATTCCCTAGCTATTCAATGAGTCGGTCTCATAGGGTGTTAACCTTAGCAAAGACCAGTGGACAGAGGCTCAGTGGTTACAGTTCACAAGGGCCCTTGAAGACACGCACAGCATTTCACAGTCCCCCTAATGTTTTTTATTAGTCTGTTCGTGCTGCCATAACAAAATACCCCCCCGGGCCCGCTGGTGTCTTAACAACAGAAATCTATTCTCATGGCTCTGAAGACTACAAAGTCCAAGAAAGGGCTGTCCGTTTCTCGAGACGGCTATCTCCCGAACTTGCACTGTCTCCTCGCTGTGTCTCACACGGCACAGCGAGTAGCTCTTTTTCTTTGCATAACAGCTCTAATTCCATCCTACAGGACCTCATCTAAACTGAATTCCTCCCAAAGCTCCACCCCCAAACACCGATACCCTGGGGCACAGGGCTCTGACATATGAATTTGGACACACAGAGTTAATAAGTGCACTCCAATCTACAGGACTAAGCCTGCCCTCAGTGCGGCAGGGAATAGCCAGCACTTCACTCACCAGCCCCTCAGTGACCTTCTACACTCCAGGCACTGACCCCCAGAATCCCTCCGGCGTCTGTCCCGCCCACCCCGCCGTCTGCCCCGCCCACTCCGCCTCCGTGGAACCGCAACCTCGAAACTCCGCTATCTGAAAAGCACAGGAGGCGAGGCCCAAGTGGACCGCCACACACACTGACGGCGAGGAGCACCTGAGTCGATTCCGGCGAGACGACGATTGACTTCTTTTTTCCTTATGTAGTCCCGGCTCGATGAGCTGGGCGGAGGGAGACAGCGTGAGCGGTGCGCAGTCCCGTTTGGAATTTTGGCGCGCAGCCCGCAGGGGGGAAGGGAGGCCGCCGCCCGTTCTCATTGGCTGGCGGCGCCTGGCGGCCCCGCCCCGCTCCTGCAGACACCTGCCTGCCGTTTCCCGCCATCTAAGATTCAAACGCAAGATGTGGGTCCTGGAGCTCTGAGAAATAAAGCCCTCAGCGTTGACAGCTTTCGACTCTGAGCCTCAAGAGCTCTTTACTGCCGACTTAACCACAGGCTGACTACCAAAAGGAAAAGACGAAAGGAGCTTCAAGAGCCAGTAAAGCCCAGTAGTTAAGGACACAGGCTCTGTCACAAATTATTCACCTCCGGGTCCTAATTTCCTCAAGCAGAAAATGCCTAAATAGGTCTGGGGATGTGGCTCAGGCGGTAGGGCGCTCACCTGGCATGCGTGCGGCCCGGGTTCGAGCCTCAGCACCACATACAAACAAAGATGTTGTGTCCGCCAAAAACTAAAAAAAAAATAAATAAATTTAAAAAAATTCTCTCTGAAAAAAAAAAAGGAAAGAAAATGCCTAAATAATACCTAAGATCCTACGGTATTATTATACCTTATTACCATGCCTGCACGAACTAAGTGCTAAATAAATCTTGTTTGCTGTCACAGAATTACAGTAAATGGCTTCTGTAAGATGACAAGAATTACTTGACAACTTTGAAATAAATAACATGCTGAATGATCAAAATGAGAAAGGAGTCCTATTGCAACTGAAAAATATTTTATTTATTGATCTGGATAACTACAGTTTACTAATGCAGCATGTGTTAAATATTCGTTGATCATCTATTATTTGCCAGGCATTATCCCAAGCACCAGGGGTGCAACAATGAAAAAAAAGATGAAAAATGATCCCACAAACCGGCATGGTAGCTAGCCCATGCCTGTAATCCCAGCAACTGGGTAGATTGAGGCAGGAGGATCACAAGTTGCAGGACATCCCCAGCAACTTATTGAAACCCTGTCTCAAAATAGAAAATAAAAAGGATTGGGGATGTAGTACGGTGGTAAAGTGCCCTTGGGTTCAATTCTAGGGTTCTCTCCACTCTGACTTCACTGTTTGGCTTCTTCTCGCCCTCCCAGATGATCCCCTTGAGCAAGATTTAAAATAACTTCTGCTCAAAATGGATAAACAAACAATACCTTTCTAACATAGAAAAAGAATGAACTTTTGATAAGACAACAGGGATGGAATTCAAGAATGATATGCTGAGTGGCGGGGAGGTCAATCAACTTTTCAGTGATTTGGTTTGTGTGTGTCCACTTATATAACACTCTTGAAAGACAGAATTCTAGTGATCTAATGATGGAGAACAGGGATCAGGGTTGGCAGGCAGGTCTTACAGCTGTAGTAGGAGGGAGTTTCTTTGGAATTTTGTCGATGCTGGTAATGGTGTCTCAGTGTGGTGATGCTTACACAGATTTGTAGATGTGATGAGATTTTATAGTAACAAACATACACACACACACAAAATGATGAGAATCAAGTGATCTACAGTTTAATTCATAGTAATGTACCAATAGCAATATCAATTCCCTAGTTTTGAAAACACACTCTGGTTTTATAAGATGTTATCATGGAGGGAAGCTGGACAAAGAGCACATGGGAGCCTCTCATTTTTGCTACTTGTTCTGAGTCTTAAATTATTTCAGAATAAAAGTTTCCCACAAGTGGTCTAGCCCTGTACTGTCCCTCCCATGGAGCCTGCACTTGAGCTCCAGGAAACACACTCTTCTTTTACCCCAGGAAACACACTCTTCCTTTACCCCAGCAAACCCTGGGAGCACAGGACCAAACCCAGCCCTGTGTCCTGCCGCCACAGGCCAGTCTACCCAGGTCTCTTTGCCCCCAACTGTAGAAAATGTATTTCCCCCGCCCTTCTGGACTTTCTAAACCCCTGACTTCTGGTGGCAAACTCATCCCACACATATACTCTGATCACTTGTGTATTCCGTGTGGCTGAGGCAATCCAAAATTAGGTGACAGGGTCGTGAGCATTTCCCTGGTGCGGTGGATGCTGTATCCCTGATACAGTTCTCCCTTTGAGGATGAGGCCCTCATCTCTACCCCGAATCTCAGAAAATTTCTCTGAGCTGAAGAGAGCACCAAGGTCACATCCCTTTCCCGGAGGCAACCTGCATGTAACGACTGGTCCCTGTGGGGGTTACTGATCCCAGTGGGGGTTAAGAAGACTCAGCCTCCTTGCCTCAACAAGGAACAGCTCTGAAGTCTAAGCCAGCTCCAGAACCCCCTTGGGGTTGGCTGAGGCCTTTATAGTGACTGCAGCAAAGCTCCATGTGTCCCTCTGTCTCATCCTGCTTGACTTTCCCACAGGTGTTGGTCCCAAGACACTCCCACACAAGCCTCCTTCATAGTCCCTCCAGGGAATGTGAGCTGTAGCACTCAGTGAACTCCATATATGACAACCAATCTCACACTCATTTTTTATTCCAATTACCTACTGAATTGAGGACTGAGTCAAAATTGAGAAAAGGAAAGTTCCACTTAACACATTATATTTATGATAGGAATAATCAAGGAGAGTAAAAAAGAAATTTCAAAGAGGCCTTGTGGAATATTAAATAGCCAGTAAAAATTCTGAACATTTTATAACAAAACATTCCAGAAAAATGACCATGATCTGATATTAAGAGAATGAAAAATTGATTCTGGACTGAGAAAAAAAGCAAAAAAAAGGACATCTTGGAGATATTTGGAGACATGGGAGTACATCCTGTATACAAGGTAATATTCTTGCATGGATGTTAAATTTCTTGAACATCATGATAATATTGTGGTTAGGTAGAATGTCTTTGTTGTTAGTTTCAAAACCCTGCTTTAGTGTTTATGGGTGAAGTCTCATGATGTCTGCAACTTGCTTTCAAATCATTCAGGAAAAAAGAAAAAGGATTTTTATAATAAGCCAGCAAGAGCAAGAGAGCTATTCTCTGCCAAGACCAGGAATATTCTTGCCCTGGTATTCTCATTCCTGTGCTAGATGCTCCCCCTTGTGTATCAAGAGAGCAAGAATGCATTCATCAAAAGGGATTTCAAAATTGCCCTTCACAGCCAGAAGGCAAGGCTGCAAGACTTTCAGAGAAGGCCATCAAACTGTCATTTTTACTGTCTCCAATCCCAATCCTTAGTTAATGGTGTATTTCTTATGGCCTCCATCTCCCTGGTACCAAAACTGAAGTCTCAATTCCTGTGGGGTGGGTGGTTGAGGAAAGGCTGGGAGTGGCCTTTAGCCTTGTCTGTGAGGAAACAGGCTTTGAAATCCAGTAGCCCTGGGCTGGGTCCTACTTTGGCTGCTTGTTCCCTGGGTGACCTCTTCAAGCATCACCCTGACTAATCTGAGAAGCAGGGAATCACCAGTAGCAAGTGAAAGGAGTCAGGAAGCCAGCCAGGTTACTGAGCAGGTGCCCAGTGGATATGGCATTGTGGGTGGCTGGGGGCGCCCCCAAGAGAGATGGTGTAGCACCTAACTACTATTTGGACATGCTGTGGAGCTAGAAAGTTGGAGCATTCATCACCCAGTTCCCACTCAGTGGCCTCTGAAGGCTGCTCCAGGGTGTATTAATTCCCCCAGGCTTCCTGTCTGCCCAAGCCAGAGCCAAGTGTGTTGTGTGGAGGGAAAGTCTCTCCCCAGGCCTCCAGTGCTTCACTTAGGTAAGGAAAGGTAAGGAGGGGGAGTCCTGGGGAGGGGGGCTAATAGCATCTGCCACATCACCTGGAAGAACCATGTTGGGGCATAAAT